TTAACCCTAACCCGTAGTTAAAATTTATGTATTTCTACATACAGTACCTTTTTGTTTTAAAATTATGAAAAGAAAACTCCTATGGTACTGATCCAGACAAGATGTCTAAAGAAATATTTCCAAATTTATAAACAAACTGTTAGGAAGTTTGCTTAATCTAAGGTTAACTTATCGGCTTTCGAACAATCAACCCCTTCATGGTGATTTTGTTTGTCAATGGGGAGTGTGTTGGACTTAAAAGGTTTTAACCTTTCATTGAAACTAGATTGTCTGCCCGCATTTTGTGTTAACACATTATTAAGATAAAAGCCAGACTGCTTTCAGTACTTCATGATTTTACTATGTCGAACATCAGAGGGTCACATTTCATATTTAACCCTTTTAGATGCAAAGGACATTTTAGTCATCCAGAGGGGGAGGGAGTCTAAGAGTAGAATCTTCTGAGACTGATAATAGTAAGATGTACTAAGACATCAATGGAATGGGGTAGGGGGGGGTTAAATTCCAAGTTTCTTTGTATGTCATGCTTAAAGTTTTCAAGGATGGATAGATCGGCTTAGATAAAAATATCAATTTGATGTTTTGTGTGGCAACTTGAATATGGACATCGCCCTAATTGGAAACAGTTAAAGTCCTTAGTTTGTTTGTTTGTTCAAACTCATGAATACATTTAGCTAGCTACACCACCCACATGATCTGCTTAGTAATATATGTAACAACCCAATTCACTCCAATTAACCCAGTTTTCAGCACTTTCTTAAATTATGTCACCTTTCCTAATGCCGGACAAGCTAATTTGTGTGTACAGTAGCTAGATTTTGCCCATGTTTCATGTTGACATATTTAGATGCAATTTTCCCTAACACTCTCTACTTTAAGTACTTTAATATTGAACTGTGACGTCTCATGCTAGACAATTTTACTTATCGACTGCATGGACTCATTTCACCTATTAACACCGAAGAAACAATTTCCTCTTAAATGTTGCCTACTTTCGGTTCTTTCTAGGGGTGTGCAGGACAGAGTATTTCTGCTATCCAGCCAGATACAGGATATGCTGGATGGCTGAAAAATATCCAGCCTGATTAAGGGTATTATTCAAATAATTATATAAGGTTCAGGCATCATTTAAGGTTAAGTACTGGTAATAATTTTATTTGGTTAAAAAGTAAACAGTCTAAAACTAGTAAACCTGCATCATTGGTAGCAAACATGCATCATTGGTAGCAAAAGCCTCGTTTACATCAGTTAAAAGTTCAAATCCCCATTTACTGTACAAACAAGCATTGAAAATACTGATCATATTTATCATATTTTTACTTCAATGATCATGATATGATAACCTTATCAAATCATTTTCTAACCTGAAAGAAGGCCTGAACCCTATATGAATAATATCCGGCATTGGGTAGCCGGATACCAGATAATGAATTAAAATCTTAATATCCGGCCAGATACAGTATCAGTCCATTGCATCCTATGTCTTGAAATGCCAAACAAATTAACTTGTTAAATGACTGTATATTGATATTCAATATACTTAGCTAATATATGCACCCTTTTATTGTTAACCCTGTGAGCAGCAATGTGCCCAAGTGCACCCTACTTTGTTATGTTGCACTTAACTAACACCAGACATTTTACTTTGTGAAATGCCAGACAATTTACTCCTCAAGAGCAGTGTCCTGCTCACTAATGGTTATCCAAACTATCTGCCAATGTGCCTTGATAACCCATTAGGCCGAAATGCACCCAAATGGACCCGCCTTTGTTAGTTTACTCTGTCAAACGCCAGACAATTTTAGTCATCAAGAAACACCAGACATTTTACTTTGTGAAATGCCAGACAATTTTACTCCTCAAGAGCAGTGTCCTGCTCACTAATGGTTATCCAAACTATCTGCCAATGTCCCTTGATAACCCATTAGGCCGAAATGCACCCAAATGGACCCGCCTTTGTTATTTTACTCTGTCAAACGCCAGACAATTTTAGTCATCAAGAAGAGAGTCCTGCGTGCTAGTGGGTTAAATTACTTAATTACATATGTTATATATAAACGTAAGCTGTTAGATTGTCCCATTGTATATTAATTTTTTACTTATCTTGACACAGGCTTGTATGTTGGATTGATACGACTACCTGTAAATATGGTTAAACTTGGCTATGTGATTCAAAGGTTGTGGTACAATGATACAAAAAAAAAGAAAATGATACAAAGATGGAATGATTGGATGCAAGTTATTTACAGTGTTTCATATGACAGGTATTCTGATTGTGGAAGATGTGGGCTTGCAATATTTTGACAATTGCATGGCTATAAAGTACGAGACAATTAATATAGTACTCCATTACTCTAATTGCCAGAACACTGCATCAGAATGAGAAGTGGTCTGTTACAGTTCGGTTTAGTAAAAGTACATAGTAAAAGTACATAGTAAACTATGTAAAATGTAATTTAGTCAGTGTCAAATAAATATTTTGTCATGGATAAACTCTGTGCAAATGAGCATGTCTCTAATGTCATTTTACTTTTAATAAGAATATGTAGATGTGTTTTCTAATACACCTCCTTAGGTTTGCTGTGTTATTATAGCATCTTTTGTAGGTGTGTTATGTAACACACCTTAGTGCAGGGTCTTAGCTAGGATTTTAGATCTTGGGCGTGTTTCTAAATGACCTGGGTGTGCGTATTTCTAGTTATGCTCGACAACAACAGACAATGCCTGTGGTTGTTGTAGGCTTTGCAACCATGCAAATACAAGGCTACGCTCACATTGCGTACTGACATTAAAATATTAAGTTTTTTCAGCAACTCTTCGGGGTATTTAAAACCATTTTATATAATACCATATGGTTCCCATTATCCATCAAAACATTAAAACATCACAGATCACTTTTTCCAATTTCATCAATTACAGTAGATTTTAGAAACTTTCTTACAACGAAAATGGGAGGAAATGCTGTCTGTTGTAAGCAGTAACACCTTATTTTATGAACCTACACGGCCTTATTTAATTAATGAAGCCGCGTTAATTTTATCTAGCCGTGTTTTTCTATTTTTGGCCGCGATAACACGGCCAACACGGCCCTCTAGCTAAGACCCTGCCTTAGTGTGTTATGAAACACACCTTACAACGTGCTGTAAACATTACAGACCTGAATGGTGTGTTATACAGCACAGCTTTAGGTGTGTTTTAAAACACGCCATGGTGTGTATGAAAACACGCCATGGTGTGTACGAAAACACGCCATGGTGTGTTCAAAAACACACCTTTATACAAAACACACCTTAAGGTGTGTTAAAATCTGGACAAGCCGAAAACACACCTTAAGGTGTGTTTTAGAACACACCTTAAGGTGTGTTAAACACACCTTAAGGTGTGTTAAACACACCTTAAGCTGTGTTACAAAACACGCCAAAAGCTGTGTTAAACACACCTTAAGGTGTGTTTTAAAACCCACCTTAAGGTGTGTTAAAATTTGGACAAAAAGGTGTGTTAAATTAACACACCTTTTTTTAGAGTGTAATAGCTGGCTTTACGCATTGAAGGACTAACCTCCGAAATGCAACTAACATCATAACTTAACAAGTCGTTCTCAGCTTGACCTTGTAGCTCAGACGGTAGAGCATCGTTCTAGAAATACGAAGGTCGCGGGTTCGAATCCCAGCCGCGGTCAAGTAGAATTTTCTGCTTGCCCGGTTTGGTATACACTCGTATGAAAACAACTCAAAAACCACTACATAACGTTACACGAGTGGAATCGTAAACGTGGGAAACCACAACATTCACATATATATATATATATATATATATATATATATATATATATATATATATATATATATATATATATATATATATATATATATATATATATATATATATATATATATATATATATATATATATATATATATATATATATACCTATAGTTATACCTATTTATCCAATTAACATACCGTACCGTTTCCTATTCGAACTGAAGAAACATGGGAAACCTGACACAAAAACATCAGGAAAACACTAATTCTACATTTTTCAACTTCGAATTAAGAACAAATTAGACCACATAGCAATAATTTTTGACTCAGTTTGGGCAACATTTTTCTGGGGGTTTCCCATTTAGACGGCCATAACTTTGTTCACAAAATGGCTTTCTTGTTATCAAGGCAGTGTTGCTCGGAAGATTTCAATGCAGCCAATGAGCGTGCGGATTTAAAGCCAGGATATGAAAATTTGGCCATGATTGGCAAACTTCGATTTTCTCTCAATTTATATCGCAATGCCCCTTCTATTTCTTTATAAACTCTATATGATCACGACTGCCGTGTTTAGTTCGGACTGACGAAAGACAGGAGCACTCACTCCAGTTATTATTTAGCTCAATGGTGAACATACAATCCTGGCAAAAATCTCATACTTGAGATTAGTATACCTGTTATAATGACCTTTACTTTCAGAAAATGTTGGGGGTGCATTGCGTCAACTGCCGTATTTCTTCCACGTGTTTGTATCCTTGCAAATAATGTTCCATTATATGCCATTGTAGCGTTTCGTACTGTCAGTGTACACATTGAAGACGTACCAGTAGCCTCGATACCGCTACGAAAAACAGTGTAAGGGATTGGTGTAAGAGTTACTATAGCTAGTCGAGAGAAATTTGTACGCTTAAGTTCCCAAATGACATGTTTCACTTCTTCGGGCGGAGTGCAGGCATACGTGGCGTTAACAGAAAAGCTTGATTCCAATGGAACATATATAGTGTAGTTAGTTTTGCCTGTCATCTTGCAGGAATCTAATATAGAATTGAATGAAAAAAAAACAGTGAAAACTTTCTTAAAATAACAGCTGCAATTAGTGTATCATTAATTAATTAATGGTTTTAGAACTGGTATTGCTCACAATATATACAGATGTTTGGTAGTATTTCTTACCAAGCTGAACACTGATTTCAGACAACATTAATAAAAGTCCAACACATTTTGAGACATTTTTAAGATTGAAAATCGACGTCATGTTTGAATTTGCTAAATACCTAAAGATAAAAATGATAAACTGCAAACAACCAACTGACAATAAAAAATCCTGCAGCTATAGCTGTCGCGCTCCCGGGGGTCGCCCTCTGCGTTTCTAGGATATTCGCCCCCGTCAGCAAATTCGGCCGTCCCTAAATTTCAATTTAAAGCAAAACAAGTCATAGGACAATCATGAAGTAAATGTTTTGACAGTACTAACTGATAATGTAATTAAACCGTTCCTTATTAACCTCCATGTTTCCGTCAGCATGGAAAAAATCCTGAAAGATCTATGGATAGGAAAGAATTGACTGCCATTGTTTCATTGGAGGTATCAAAAGTATTCTCTTGCACTAATAATCTATTGTACTTCTCAAAAAATTTCGTTCATTAGCCGATTAGGTGTGTACAAAGAAGTAGTTGATTGGTTTAAGAGCCCCATGCATGCCTGGGGCCCGCGACAAAAATGACCATAAAAAATCTACTCGTACATTTCCGAGGAATTGAATAACTCAGGCCAGTTAATGCCTGGCTCTTGTTGGCTCTGCCCACGCTGACTTGATATGTCCGCGCGAGTTGCGCGCGCGATTCAACATATCCAGCGTTTTGCCGTTCGAATGAAACTGAAATTTAATAACTATGAGCTGTTGGATTATTTTATATTATGTTAGATTAATAGCAACCAGCAGGGATGAGTAAATTATCAGTTTTTCCTGTACAATTGGCCGTATAGGCGTATAGTATAATATATCATATTATGCGATATGCGGCGACCTTTGAACTTTGATATATAACGCTATTGCGGGATTTTACGTCTCAATTATTCAACATCGATTTGTGATTCCTCTTTAGTTTCCCACTCACAGAAAAATATTTGAAATACAAATAAGTACTCAGCATATGGATGGTTCAAACTTTTTGGGGTGGTGTTGTTTAGGGG